GAGTTATATTGCTAATGTACCATATATTTCCCTCTCTGATTTTCAGCAACCATGAAGACAGGATGCTGAACATTTTCACAATGAAGAAATGTTAAACACTTGAGGAGATAATTTATTTACCCTGATTTGGGCCCTATACAATGCATATATGAGTTGAACATTGCATGGTATCTCATATGTAATTTTTTTTGTCTTAAAATTTGAGGGCCTGGCATGGTGGCCTAGTGACTAAAGTCCTCACCTTGAACATGCCAGAATCCCATATGGGCGCTGGTTCCAATCCTGGAGGCCCCAAGTTCCATCCAGCTCCCTGCTTGTGGCCTGGGAAAGCAGTCGAGGACGGCCCAAAGCCTTGGGACCCTGCACCCGCTTGGGAGACCCAGAAGAATTTCCTGGCTTCTGGCTTTGGATTGGCACAGCTCTGGCCGTTGTGGTCACTTGGGGAGTGAATCATCGGACGGAAGATCTTCCTCTCTGTCCCTCTTCCTCTCTGTGTATCTGACTTTGCAATAAAAACAAAATAAGTCTTTAAAAATGAATTTATTTGAAAAAGGAAGGCAATGAAGGGAACAACAGCAGCTGAGGGGGAAGGGCACACAGGCATCCTACGTGACTCCCAGTGATCACAGCAGCCTTTACTCCACTAGTTGGAACAAGGTTAATGAAACGTCTACACTTCTCAGCAACTGGCTCAATCCAAGACCTCACATGAGCCTAGGGGTCTCCAACTTTCAGAGGGCAGTGCCTGGCTGAGTGCCAGCCCTCAGCACCTGCTCAGGCCTCCTCTGAGCCCCCGGAAAGCAGCCGACCTTCCATGGGAGTTGGTTTCTCTGTCTTTGGTTTGTGCACTTTGGAGAGGTGTAAGAATTCTACCCTGTTTTTAGCACTGTCTACCCATTCATGTGGTTCATCTTGCGATCCTTTCTGCAAGTCACTCCTTTAATTTTATTATAAGCCAGGAGGCTGAGGCTTAGAAGGAGTAGGTGACTTCCTTTAACTTAGCCATCTGACTCCTCAAACTCTTAATCCCTGTACTTGGGGGAGGGGGAATGATTTAGTCCTTTGAAGGGCAGAGATACACAAAGTGACTGGGGAGACAGAGAGACGGGGACAAAGATCTCACATCCACTGGTTTACTCTCCAAATACTAATAGCAGCTAGGACCAGGCTAGACTGAAGCCAGGCCCTCTCCCACATGGGCAGCAGGGTGCCACTGTAGGAAACATAATCTTCTGCCTACAGGAAGCCAAAGTCAGGAGCAAAACCAGGACCCCAATAACAGACCAAATGCCAGCGCCCACCTTCTTGCTTTTCTGCTAAGTGCCAGGACACACTCATGGAAGTGTATGGGTGCAGTGCTTTTGTGCAAAGAAACCTATGTCTAAATAAGTAATAAATAGATGAATAAAATACTGGTTTTGATATGTGTTACTTAATACTTAAAGTTAGGCTATAACACTTTTATTTCTAAAATAAGAGCTATTTTATATACATTATATGTGTATATTTAAATCTATGTTATGTTTCTTTAGCTCTGTTGAAAGTTTTTGAACATGTGGGCAGTTCTGCAGAATAATTGTAGAGAAAAGGAAAAATAGGCATCAGGCTTTGCTAATTCATTTGTTTTAGTTTTTTTTTCTTTCTTTTTTCCTTTTTACTGGTATTGACCTCCCACCACAACCCACTGGCACTTGGCACCCTGGCACCTGATGAAATATTATTGTCCTCAATTGGTTCCCAAAGCACCAGGCCAACTTGCACCTGCTACATCATATGTTGATTTATTATGTTAACTGTGTGCTTTGTTCTGCCCATCAACTTCAGCAGTAGAATAGCAAAGATTTCAGTCTGTTTTTTCCACCGTTATAACCTAAGTTCTTGGAACAGCTTCTGGCATAAATCAGGGGTTGAATAACTTTGCTAAACAAATAATAATGTCTTTTGAAAATGTATTTCATTTACTGATAAGTCAGGGACAGAGAACTCTCATGTGCTGGTTCATTCCTCGAAGGCTCACAGTAGCAAAGGTGGGCCATGCTGAAGCCAGGAGCAGAAAGCTTAATGCAGTGGGTGACAGGGGCCTACTGGCTGGAGTTATCCTCTAGTACATGTAGGGTATACGCTATCATGAAGCTGGAATAAAGAGTGGAGTTGTTATCAGGAATCCAGTACTGGTTGCTTGGGGTTCTTTTCTTTCTGGAAAAAAGAATTCAGATGTGACTCAGTAAGTGGTGGGGAGCAAGCTAGCTAGGTTGAATGGGGATAAATAAGGTCCAGAGTGTATCTGAAAGACCAGGTGGGCATCTCAGTCCAGACCTGAGAGCCCCATTTGCTTTCGGACTAGAATTTTTATGGATGTCGAATGTGCGCCCTTTCACCTCCCCCTCTACCATCTGCAATTGCTGGCTGGAGAGCTGCTTCTGGCTGGAGCGTTTCTCCCACAACTTCTTAACAGCCACCTTGCTAGAGGGCAGATGAGAATCTCTTAAACTACCCCAGGGAGAGGGCTGCATCTCACCCAACCATAATAGGGGAAAGTGGATGAGACAATTGTTTCCAATTTTTTTCTTTCTTCCTCTGTCTAGGGGAGGAAGGATAGAAGGAAAGAGGGCCACTCTCAACAGCCTAAACGCATCAATACTTGGGGATGGGGGAAAGCTATTGGATGTTATCCCAGGGTCCCCGATGTGGAGCATATTCTGATGGTACTGCTTAAGTGTTTTGTTTTGTTTTGTTTTGTTTGTACTTCTGTTTATTATTATCATTTTATGATACAGTTTCATAGTCGCTGGGATTTCCCTTATCTCCGCCCCAATTCCCGCCCCCCACACTTATTGAGTTCCCCTGTATCATTACTATACTATAGTTCTTCATACACAGATATATGTCCATCATTGCAAGCGTGGACAATGTCATAGAGTCCAGCATCCTATTGTCAAGATATAGTAAACAGTTTCGTTGGGAGTCCATCTTTGTCTGGAAGTAGAGATGCATACTGCATTGTATCCTCACATCTGGATATGATAGTCTCCATTGAACAGTTACTATACATTCCCTTAAATGAAAAGCCACAATACAAAATCAACAACAAAAAGAAATTAACAACACCATGAAGTTAAATAACATGCTACTGAATGACTAATGTGGTTTTAATAGTTCTGAAACACTGTTGCTTTTGTTGCTCCAATGTTGAGGAAATCCCTTCAATGTCTGGTGGCTGACATAGTCTGCCTTAGAGTCTCCATTTGCAGATATTGGCTGTCAAAGCTTGGCCGGCAGAATTGTCCAATTTGTTCTACCCTCCATGGTACTAGATGTTCTCTGCAGGTTCAGTGAACTGGTTGTCATGTCCCCCATGTGCATCTGGGCATGCTGTACACCACACAGGCTTCAGTAACTGAGGAAGCCCAGTTCTGATGCACACACTTCATGATCAGAACATATATCCTGTGATTTTTTTCTGTGGTCTGAGTTTTGAGTCCAGGGGTCCAGTTGGGAGGGTCCTCAAAATCACCCTGTCTGATGTGACCCCAGGCCCTGCTCCTGTGTGTGCCAGCTTGTATTGGATCTGGTTCAGTCCATCTCCTGCATCAGAGGCTAGCTTTCTTGTTCCATTATACACGCATTGGCTCATACAGCTACCCTGGCAGAGCTAGAAGTTGAATCAAGGCACTCTAACCTGGGGGAAGCCAGTGTCTTAAGTGCTAGGCCAATAGCCTACCCTGGACTTTATTTCTAGAGTTGTTTTTAGATTCATGATAAGAGTATGTGGAAAGAACAGAAATTTCCCCGGTACCCTCTGTACCATAAATACACAGCCTACCTACTCCATCAAAATCCTGTACCAGAGTAGCACATTGGTTACTACTGAGGAACTGCATTCAAACCTCAACATCATTCCAAGTCATAGATGACATTGTGACATCTTGTTGGGCTAATATGTAGTTAGAATCGCATCCCTGTTGGGGTGAGAAAAAGTGAAATCTCTTTCGAAGTATAAAAAACCCTTGCTTTTGCTCAGAAGGTGTTATTAGATAAAAGTGCCTTTTTCCCTTCTGAGTTTCTAGTTGCCATAGCCTTCTTGTTTTATCTTGAGCAAGCTAGACAGAGTTACCACTCTGGCTTCTGATGGGTTTTATCCCAGTGGCAACTTGTGCTTAAAAGACACCACATGCATCATTTTTCTTGGCTTTTCCTGTCTTGGAGCCCCCTCCTGAGAGCTGTGGCAAAGTTTCTGTGCTCTTTACTCACTCCACTGTGCATGGAAATCCTTCTTTCACGCAAGACAGAAGCAAGGTTGTCTCTGTCATTTGTGCCATTTCCCTGGAACAACATTAGGGCTCACTCTCGCTGGTATTGTTGATGCTGTGGATTCTGACGGATGCTCAATGACACGTGTCCAGCCTTGAGCATCATGTACAATACTGAGTGTGACCTAAAGTCTGTGCTCCATCTTTGATTTCTGTTACTCCTTTAATCTTTGGGAACCAGTGATCTTTTCACTGTCGCTGTCATTTTCCAGAATGTTTATATTTGCAATCATGCAGTAGGCAGTCTTTTCAGATTGGGTCATCTTATTTATCATTATGCACTTAAGGCTTTTTCATGTTCTTTCATAGCTCCGTGGCCCAGTTTTTATTTATTCTTTTTTAGTATCGAATAATACTTCATTGTTGGAATGTACTTCTTTGCTTATTCAAAGAATTAGAATTTTAAACAACAACAACAAAAAATGAATTAAATATGTTGCTTCTAAAGAAACGGAACAGTTGGCTCTGGGAAACTTTGGGGATTAAAGATTTAAGGGATGGCAACCAGGGATGGGATCGAATAGGTGCTCATCCTCCTATTCAGCAATGTGTCCTGGGCCTTCTGGGCCAACAGGTGTGTGTGTTGGGGGGATGCTGCTGGAGGCAAGTGGGCGTGGTCTCAGCCTGTCTTTCAAGCCCTTCAGGAATCCAGGGGAAGCTCACCAAGGCTCTCTCCTCTCTTCTCTGCAGATCGAAGAGGGGGGCAAAGCCGACTCTCCCAGTTCGAGGCTGCGGGCTGGCGACGAGGTGGTGCACATCAATGAGGTGGCGCTGAGTAGCTCCCGAAGAGAGGCTGTGTCCCTGGTGAAAGGCTCCTTCAAGACCCTGAGGCTGGTGGTGCGCAGGTAGGCTCCACCTGTTCCTCTAACCCCCTCTCCTTCCCCTTCTTTTCCACCTAGCTGGGCCTGGGTGCTCCACGTGTGGGTCCTTACGTCTCTTTTAGGTGTGCCTTTGTATTCTTTGTCCGTCTTATGGGATGTAAGGAGGAGGCTGGGTGAATGTATCTGACACTGTTTCCCTCGCTGGAATTGGCATTCCATGGTTGGGCCTCAAGCACTTTCTTGATTTCTAGGCTTGGTATCTGTGGTTGGGAAAAGCTGCTGTTGCCCAGGGCCAGGGATCCCTTGGGAAACATTTGAGGAACAAATGCAGTATGGTGTGGTGGGTGAGCTACCACTTAAAGGATGGGGCTGGCTAGGGGTTTAACGGATGACTCCCGCAGTCCCAACTGACTGGGACATTCACAATTACTGTAGTGTTAGTTGAAATGTGAGGAAGCCACAGCCTGATTCATGGAGAAAGCTCAATAACTTACAGAAAGTATGGGCCCAGGCCTTCCGCAGGTCAAGGCAATGATGCTCAGGTGATGTGATGAAATGCCACCTGGAAATCTAGACTGTTCTGGCTTTTCTACTTATCAGCCCAGCTATCTTCAGCAAATTACTTAACCTCTTGCTTAAAAAACGTGGGTAGTAATAGGTACCTCCCAGGATTCCTGGGCAGATAAAATGAGCTAACATGTCACCCAGTACTTGGTTGCCATAGGGAGCCAAAAAAATAATTCAGTTCCCATTCTCCTTTGCATACCTAGTTCTTTTGACTAAGAGATGGTTCCTGGGAATGGAGAGGTTCTTTGTTTTCGGGCATTAAGACTATTCACAACCTAAATTTTTTTTCAAAAGAGGAACCACCTAAATTATTGAGACCAGAAAGCAAACAGAATGTGCTCTAAAGTTCCAAGCCCAGTGCTGGCTGAGAGCCTACGAATGGAGTTCTCAGAGCTCTCGTGCGTTCTGGCACTGTGCACCAGTGCCTTTCCGCAGTTGCCTCTTCAGGGTCAACAAGCAGAAGTTGCTGCCCTGGCAGTCAGTGGGCACAGAGTGGCTCTCAGTCAACATTCCAGGATCAGAACAGGCCTGGGTCTGATTTCTGTGGCTGCTCTTTCCAGCTGTATGACCTTGGGCAAATGACTTAAGTTCACCCAAGATTCCATTGCTACAACTTAACTATGGATTCAGATGCTTACTTTTTGCCAGTGGAAATAACCTAGGTCAGGGGCTGAAGAAAGAAGATCAGAAGGAAGAAAATGTCACCAACGGATACAGTGCGGGTAAACCTGGAGGGTCTAAGTGGAAAAAATCAAGGTCAGAAAGACAAACACTGGGTCATCTTCCCTGCATGTGAGATGCTAAGAAAAATGTAAGCTCAATGCAGCAGAAGGAAGAACATGGTTGCCTTGTGGTGGGTTGGAAGAATGGGGAGATGTTGGCAAAGGATCTAAAATTTCAGTTATGATAATTCTATGAATCTAATGGTGTTGGATGGTTTACTTGAAATTTGCAAGAAGAAAAGATATTAAGTGTCCTCACCACCCCCAACACACAGGGATAGCCAGGTGGTATATGTGTTGATTAATTTTGTTATGGTGATACATGATGCGTAGACTTATGCATTACACATCCCAAATCATCCTTTGAATTTGTATATGCAATTTTTATTTAATTATGCCTCAGTAGCCTTCTCTATATAGTGATAGAAGCAAGCAGAATATTCTACACAGTAGCAAGAGATACTGTGGCTATTGTTTATGTTATTGTTGGCCAGCTCTAGGCATTAGTCAGTTCCCTATGGATAAAAACTTGATGAAAGCAAATAATCATTACATATATGTATGGTAGCTGAGTTTTTAACCAGATATAGAGAAGAGTGGAACCACAGGCTTGTTCCTTGTGTCTGAAGAAGTGTTGAAAGTTTTGAATTCACCTTGGCATTAGAACCCAAGGGCCAATCTGAGAACACCAGCACTTATCTGTTGAGGATTTACAGTAGAATCTGTACTGCTGTGTTTTGGTTGGGCCTTGGCAATAGGCTAACCTTAGAGAGGCGGCCCTATTGTCTGTTAGGAATAGAGCTCTGTTGGGCTCTGGTTATGCCTTCTTGTCAGTGTTGATATAAAGTTTACATTATCTGTAGCAGAACTGTTAGAAACACAGTCCTAGGGTTGAAATCAGAGCTTGTCATTTTGGTAACTGTGTTACCATGAAGCTTTGTTGGCCTCAGTTCCTCCTTAGTGCCATGAATATATAATGAATACAGTGTGAGCACATTTGAACATGATGTGCAATATTTGATCATGATTATTATGGGTCAGATTAGAGAGAAGTAGGTGGTAATATGGACAAGGCTGGTCATCCCCCAAACACAATTACTGCCTTGGTAAGTTTACCCCTGTTGAGAGGCTGGTCCGCAGCTCTATAAATCTAACAGGGATGGTGATTATTCCAGAATTCATGGAATTTAAAAATGATCAGTCACGTTAGTTAGGCAAACTCACAGTAAACTGAAAGTTATATACCAGAATGCTGATGGATGCAGTCCCAATTGGACCAAGAATCATTGAACTTGATCGCTACAGAAAAGCACTTCATATTTCCAAAAAAGAACACACACACATACAGAAGTCTAATTATGTTCAATGGGCTGCCTGGTAATCTCTAACTCAATGCACGCCTTTCTTAAAGCCAGATGGCTCATCTGCCCACTAGGGACAGACATTCTCAATGGCCAAAGTCCCTTCCCCCAGGTCCCCAGGGAATCTTGCTTCTAAGGGGCGCCTCTCTGAAGTAAAGGTCTTCTTTGCTTGTTAACATCAAATCCTCTTTCTGACGGACACATTCTTTCTTTAGATATGCTAATGACACCGGCCAGAGTATCTAGCAGCTCTTGCACTCTCTGCTTCTGGTGTGGGAAGCCTTTTCAATATGCCTTACCTCCCCTATTATACATTAATTTTTATATTGCAAGCTTAGTAAAGCAGATGGCAGGAGGATGGCTGCCTTAGAGTGGGTCAGAAAAATGGGGAAGTGTTGGCAAAGGGTATAAAATTTCTATGAATTTAATAGTGTTGGATGGTTTACTTGAAATTTGCAATAAGAGAAAATATTAAGTGTCGTCGCTGCCCCCCACACACATGGTTAGCCATGGTGGTAGATGTGTTGATTAATTTTGTTGTGGTGATACATGGCTTATACACTTTCTAAATCATCATATTTTATCCTTTGAATTTGAGTACATTCAATTTTATTTAATTGTGTCTCACTAACCTTCTCTTTAAGGTGATAGAAGTACTATTGTTTATGTTATTGCTGGCCAGCTCTAGGCATTGGCCAGTTCCCTGTGGATCTGCAGAAGGAGGCTGTCCTCATGGCTCACACAGACTCAAGGCTGGGGGTCACATCTCGGGAACTGCGGGCCGCCATTTCTCTCCTACCTTTCCTGGAACCCAGGAGTTGCCCTTTTTGCTCTGGCTTGGGGCTTTGTGTTGACTAGCTGTCACTTCCTGGAGAAATTTTGCTTTATACCTCATCAGCAGTCCTCGACTGCTTTCCCGGGCCACAGGCAGGGAGCTGGAAGGGAAGCGGGGCTGCCGGGATTAAAACTGGCGCCCATATGGGATCCCGGGCGTGCAAGGCGAGGACCTTAACCACTGCGCCACCACGCCGGGCCCCACCTGCCTCTTTTTTTCTCTCCAAGTTATTTTGGATGAAAGAGATAGAGATAGACAGAGAGAGAGCAAACAACTCCATCCATCACAAAAATGCCTAGAAAGCAGAGAATGGAGTGGTATCTGTGTGAGATCTGGGGGAATCTTCCCCAGTGGCTTAAAAGCAATCTGGAGCAGAAACACCTTCTAGAAAGGCTACAGTGACCAGGGAAATGCAGAGTCACGTGTGTTGTGGACCAAAGGCCTTTGAGGCTGTGCTGACCCATGAAGAAGACAGGGCTTAGCTGGAAGGTGAGTGCTGCCAGAGCAGAGGTCATGTCCACGGCACCCTCCGCACTCAGGAAAACAGAGTGAGAATCTACAGGCAATGGTGGACACATTGGAGGGAGAAATGACAGAATGAGGAAGCCAGGGAAAAGACCTTCAGGAAGGAAAACAAACATTGCCTGGCTGAAGAAAAACCTTTGTGGAATGCAAGGACAATACAAAGGACACTAACTAGGAAACAGGTAAGGACGCAAAAAAGAGGGAACAGTGTAAGCGTTCCCTGAGATACCTAGGGTTAGTCCTTTCATGCACCTAAGCTCTCTTCGGAATGGAAGAAGTTTGCTGCAATAAGACTGAAATACCAGCTGCAATGAGGCACATAGGAGGTCTTTTATTCCAGCTGGATAGGGATGGAAGCAGAGGCAGAGGGAGAGAGAAGAAAGGGGAATCTCTACTGTAGAGGCAGGATGGCTGCAAGGGCAGGGGAAGGGGCGGGGAACAGGGAAAGGGCAGCACACAAAGCGGAACACGCCTGTGGCAAGGGGCAGGCATCACAAGGCCACAAGGGATTGCTGGATAGGATTGTTGGAGCCGCAGGGGATTGGTAGGTGTGGCATGGCAGTGGGTGAGGACCAGGGGAAGGGACCACGAGGGGTTGGTGGAGAGGGCTGTCAGGTATGACACTATGAGGTTACAGCGGATTGGTGGGAATAGGGTTACCAAGTTACACAGCAACAAAATTTGAACCTGAAGGGCAGGCAAATGTTAAGGTTGCTGATCTAGGGGAAGCAGATATTTAAAATAGTACCAAGTCCGAAATGGTGGTGGACCTTCAGGGCCAATGTTGGAGTCACTGCTTACATTCCTCCCTTTTGTTATATAGAAAGGAAAAGGTGCGTCGTTCTCCTCCATAGCTTCTTCCAAGTTGAGTTTGGGCAGTGTTCTCGAGGCACAAGGTCTCAACGTGGTTAGGAGTAGTGGGAGATAGGGAGAGACTTGTAGCCCTGCAAAAGAAGCTTGTTAAAACTTTGGATAGAAAATTTGTTTGCATTTGAGTGTGGATGACATAGGAGT